GACTGAGCAGCTCAAAACCCACCCTGAGTCCAAACAAGCTGAAGGAAATTAGCAGATAACTTTTAAAGCTGCCTAACAGGGCTAATTGTGTTTCTTTTCTACTTTTATAAGAGACAACAGCATGGAAGCTTCTTTCTGGGTCTGGGTGCAACATCTTGTGAAATCTTGTCATGATACAGGAAACAGCTTTTAAAAGAAGAAATCAAGACTGTGTTCATTTAAGTTTGAACAATTTCATCTTAGCAGTGTGAGACCATCAGCAAGTTCTTCAGGAAAAGCAGAAAAATGTGGTATTTCTGATAATCGCAGGACTAAAAGTGTCAATTAAAAATGTTCTGGGACAAGCCTGCACAGTGTAATGCATCCTAAAGAATGGCAGATGGGAATATGGTTCATCACTTTCAAAGGCTATTTTCATAGATTTGACAGATGTATTCAGACAAAAAGAAAAAAAATATGATAAATGATAGTTTACTGCACAAGGCTTTCAAGCTATTTACACATAAAAACTCACTATTCCTGAATAAGTGTAAGATGTAGTCTCTAGTTAAACCAAGTTTTTTACTTAAGAGAAATTTGCCTGGTAAAGCTAAACCAATGACAGCACCCAATTACCATTTTGCTTTGTTTTTAATATCGGCATTAGTATAAAAGAAATAAAATAATTAGTATGTAATATAACAGTTACTTAATGAGTTTAAAAAGCAAAAAAGCACTGAAAAATTCAAACCCTAATTTACCTACTTTTCAATAGCACATGCTAAGAAAGGCAATTTCTCAGGAGGAAAGAAACGTGGGCTAGATACCGTGCAGCATTACGAATTTTCCTAAAGCTAGGAAATCCCTATGCATCACTCTCAAAATCATCCTAGAACTGAACACAAAGGTTAGCAGAAATGCCTAAACTCACGTGGGTTCCATTATACACCACTTAGTGTAACCTACTTTTTAGTATTCAGCATTTCAGTATCAATAATGCATAACGTCAAAAGTCGTTCAACCCAAAGTACAGGCACGAGAAAGTAAACACGGATCTTGGAGAAGGGCTGGCTGCAGTGTGGTGTCACTGCTGGATCTGCCTTGTGCCCCCGTGCAGAGGGACAGCAAGATGGAGCTGCTGGAGCTCTCCCTGTGCTAATGGGGAGCTGAGGACCTGCCCCCTCTGCAGAAGAGCAGAGAAAATAAAGCTGCAGAGAAAATAAAAGCAACACCAGTGTCCTGGTGGGCAGCTAAGCAAGGTGCCCGTGCCTGGTGATGTGTGCCCCAGTACAAAGCTCTGCTGCCCACACTGGTGCTCTGCCTGCTGCCACCCCTCAGCCCAAAACCGACCCACACGAGCTCTGGCCACGCTTTCACTACCTCCGTGCCTAGCTTGGCTCATTACTGAGTGCTCAGTGAACATCACTACACCACCTTTTACTTTCCCTCCTGAGAGGTTGGTGTTCTTCGCTGGATAAATTATTTACCATTAAGGAAATGAAGGTGGCCAATAGGGAAGCACAAATTAAGAGTGCGGGAGTTCATGAGACCGGGCTGCTATGAGACAGCGTTTCAGCTTTCACATGTATTCCCTACCCAGCTGCTAAAGCAGCTTTACCGTCAATCCTATTTAGGGCAAGAACGCAACAGAGTATGGAGATTCCAAAGCTCAGTCCTTCAGCCAGAAATTGCTTTACCTTCTATTTTCACTTCCTCCCCTGCTTCTCCCCCCTTGTGATAGTTTCCATCTCATATCCTTGGGCTACTAGGAACAAGCATTAGAAAGCACATTAGGAACAACAGAATTGGAACCCCTTGAAGTTTTTCACAACAAAATTTATTAGAAGAATAGTGGTTTTGAAAAGTCTAGCATCCAGTGAAAACTACCATACACAACGTTACAGCTGGGAATGTGTTTCCAAAATGACATGGTCAAATAATACAATGGAGCCATTAAATCTTACACATGCACAACAAGAGAATTAGCGCTTTGACATACAATGCAAAAAATAAATGGACCACATGAAATAAAAATTTAAAAGTACTTATCACATACATTAAGACACAGCTTATTTAGTCCAGTCAAAAAATCAGAACTGCATTAAAAAAATTAATGTAGTGCAATCAAACCAAAAACCTTAATTTGTGATCATAAGTGCTCTACTACATAAAACATTGATCATAGCAAGGAACAAAAAATTCAAATCACACAGTACAAAAAAAATCTGTAAATAAATATAAACTACAGTACAAGAGAAATATTAAATTATACAATTCCGTCAAACTGTAAACAGTATATTGAAATGAGGTCCATAAGAGTAAAGGGGGGGGTTCCTGTTTTTTTTTCCCATGACACTTGAACTTCTAGAGGTCAGAGAGAAATGCCATTTTCCATACTCTTCAAAGACTATGGGTTACATAAATAGAAAGAGAAGACTTTTTAGATGTAAAGTGTCAAATAATAAAGCAGAGGTGTTGCTGACTTGCGACTGCCAACAGATCACCATGAAGGCAGAACAGCAGATTTTAGTTTCAGGCTTGGCCTCCAGGTGAGCACAGCACAGAAGCTGACACTGCAGGTGTTCAGTGAATAGTGCTCAGCCTCAGAAAGGAGGCACCTTGTGAGCTCTGGTCCTACCCAGGAGCTGGAAATAATTATGGACAACCTGGACCTCTGCTGATTATCTGACAGGTTTACACGCTTGTCATACAAACACCAACTTTGGCAGAACAATTACTAATAAACTCAAAGCACTCCCGGCCCATTGGTTTCCATCACAGTGGCCAGTGCACAGAATTCTCTAAGGACATTGCATAACTAGAGTGTAGAGGTCAGACAGCCAAGGACCCGTGCTTGAGGTTAGAAGTAGTTATGGTGAGAGAGAAGCAAGAGCCACGTTAAGAAGCTGCCTCTGCTGTTCACAGAAGCAGCTGGGAATGTATTTCATTTTTAGCTGCGCTGGCTAGTAGTGGCATTTTAAAATATATAAGTTTAAGATAACATATATACTATATATGTATATAATATAATACATATTATATAATATACATAGGAATTTCTTACAATACATACCAGGAACCCCCACGCGATCTGCTCAGTAGTAATAACTGAATATACAGAATGCCACTATAAGTGTCTGAGGCACTGTGTGCTGGAGAGTAAATATGCAGCTTTAAAATCCGTTTGGCTGAGTTATACCTGGATACCTGAACTGAGTTTTAAGTTGACATTCATCAAGGATGTGCTATCAGCACGTCAAAAGAAAAGCAAAACAAAATACAAGTCACTGCTAGGTTTAAGAAGAGAGTACAAGTACCTGAATTGAGTGAGGATAGTGTGTAAACTGTCCCTGAGGGTTTTTAAACAGTGTGTGTACAAGTTGGATTCCTAAGAACATTAGTTTAAACTTACACTGCGGACTGATAAAATACCAATGTCTGACAATTTAACAAGTGGAGGTTAAAAAGAGTTATGAGCAAACACTCAAAACATTTTATACATTTTAAAGCAGCAGTAAGCTGCTGTAAGCATACATCCCATCAGTACAAGCAACACGTGGGACTCAGATAAAGGTTTCTATTTGCAAAAAGCCCATCATATATCGATAAGTAAAGAATATTCACCTGCTAAATTAGAATGCACCTAGTTACAGACTAGCAATTCAAGATTAATTTTTTAATCAAATACTTTGCTATACTTTGCTATTACATACTAAAATTCCTTAAGCTCACTAATGCTGGTATTCTAATCTATTTTTTTTAAATGTTCCCCCTTCATTTAAGAAATATACCATTCCACAACTTAAACATTAAGATCCATTTTCAGTCCTCAGATGTAAAAAGCATGTCAATGAGTTTATATTAAAAATTTACACGGTAAAAAGGCTTGAATTTCAGCCAGAGATTCTAAATACTACTCATTCCCTGAAGGCATAAGGGAGAAAGAATCCCTACCCATTTTTCTTGTGATATAGTTTTCAAACTGAACATTAAACAATGGTCCAAAATGGTTTTGTTTTTTTTTTTCAGTTTGGGAAACTTCCCTTCCCTACCCATCATCCCAGATTCCCAATGTTAAGCCCTGAAATGGCCTACTGAAATGATCAGTTAAAAATACCAGGCATGTATATATACATCCCCTGCCTGAACTCCAGAATATTTTGATGTACTAGTCTTTAAAAGACAAATTAATATCCCAAGAAACCTTGTGATCTGACCTGACAAGCTGTTCATGATCCTAGATTGTATATTTGAAGTATTTCATAACCTGAAGACCAGATTTAATTAAGACTCTGGCATTGTAACAGAGAAAGTGCTGCAGTTATTTATCCCTTTTCTGGTACTTTAGAATAGGTCAGACAAGTGCTTTTTATAGTTTACATGTTTTCACGCAGGCATAAAAAGTATCTGCAAAACTATTTGAGAAATGTAGCACCAAGTAATTGATAAACTGTTTAAGTAGCTCTAGTAGTATCCTCATTATTTCTGAGTAGGAAAAAAATATTAAGATAAACTGTGCTAGGTGATGATGAGAGAAATTGTTTTTGATGTTAACTTTTCCTGCTCCAGTCAAAATGAAGCCTGTGTCCTAATCCCTGCTCTGTAAGGTAGTTATCATCTTGAGTCCTCCTAAATTATACTTACCAATTCAGTAGAGACAAGCACAGGGGCACCGGTGGGGATGTTGCCGTTTTTAAGAAGGTAAATTAAATGCTCTGGACAGTCTAAAAAAAATCCTCCTTTCTAGTACATCACGCAGGAAAATTGTTTTTGCAGCTGGGCTGAGAGATTTTTGTAAGGATTAAATAAAGCTCTCTTAATATGAAGGTTTTTTAGGAGAATACCTGAATATAGGCATAATTCAGTAGGACATGAGGTCCAAAACTGCTGCTGTAATACTGGTTTAGAGACTTGGCCCCAATCAAAGAAAGAACAGGAAAGAGAGAAAGAGAGAGAGATGGACACTGGAATGCTCTAAGTACTTAACAGTTTTTTTTCTGGTATACGTGAAGTGGGTGGATCTACGTTTTGCAGTTTGTAAAATCTCTCTGCCTAGTGGTCACCACAGTGCACTGTGTTTATACACTGGATAATCTGAAATGAGTTACTATAGTGGCTACTTTATCTGCTACATTCATCAGAACTGCATACAACTAGCAGTGCAGATTTTCAGGTTTCTGAAGGTTCCAATTACTGAATTTTCAATACAATTCAAGATCAAGTAGAAACCTTTATAGTACCAAAACAAGTCTCAAAATTATTTTCTTACAGCTTTCTAAAACAATATAAGCCAACATTATGTACTGATGCCAAGAAAAAGCAACATTGACCTAGACTGAAATTACATTTAGTTTCTGAAACATTTGTGGGGAATACCTAGAGGTTTCTGATCCTCATGAAAATGAGGGAAACAACCCTTCCCATCCTACTTCTAACATTTGGCAGAGAATTTAAGCTATTTAAAATATTGTGACAAATCTTTCAGTAAGGTTAATAATTTCACCTTCATAAGATTTTGGACTGCAATAAGAGTATGCATTCTTATACTGAAGAGTTCAAATTTTGTCTTCACTGAAGAAAGAGGTCTTCACATTACAGATGCAGCCATACTGCTTTTGAGAAAAAAAGGGAACAGTAGAGTGCTCCCTTCACTCCTTGGACACTGTGTTCTTCTCCTAAGACTCAAGGACATCTTAAGAGCATTACTTGAAAGTAAACTGGAAAGAAACACATGGCAATTCCAGTTTTGACTGTATAACAATTGTTGCAGATGATACAAAAAGCAATTCAATCAGAACTAAAAAGTTGTTTCACAAAGCTTACTCAACCCTAAGCCCCTAAATCACTTTGCCAGCTCCCATGAATTTCCAGGGAAAGGCAATGTACTCTTGAGTACTCATGAAAGAAATATTTAGATGCAAATGCTGGCCTGCCACGAGACAAAGCACAGACTATTCCTTGTCTGCTCTTACCCAGTCTAAACACAAATGCAGTTACATCCTGTGTTTAGGAATATCCTCCAGTGGTGGAAAAGTTCTGCAAAAAAGGTTGTGCAGGAGTTGCAATAGAACACAGAAGCTGAATGTGTTCCATTACTGAAGGCATTATCCTATCTGTACCCCTGAATTGTTAAAAATATTTTTTCTCCAACTGCCAAAAAAGTTCAGAGTTTGAATTCAGGTCTAGCAGTAGGGTTGGTAATGCAAACATCAAGTTATGAGTTCTGCAACAAAAAAGAAAGTAAAGGCATACCTGTATTGCTTATGCAGCAACTTCTCCTGTGCAACAAGGAAAAAATGAGAAATTCTAAAGGAAACTGTCTTGAACCTTTAGAAAAAAAATCAGGGAATGACTGGAAAATAAATAATCTTTAGACAGAAATAAAAATGAGTCCAGAAACGTGTCCCTACAATATCTAACTGGAAACGTTCAACTCTATAGCTGTACTCAAGCATTACAGCCACAATAATGCCTACAACACTGTGGAATGAGGATCCAGCTGGCTGAAAGTGAGGTAATAGTTTGTAATAGGTCAGAGTTCTAAAAAAGCACTTTTACATCTTACAAATCCAAATGAAAAAAAAGAAAAAGGACACATTTCATACATGTTGGGCTTTCCCACCAGAACTGTACGATAATTAACTCCACACCAGGACCCCTACCACACTAAGCCTTACTCATCTTCAATTATATGCTGCAGCAAAGATTTACCAAGCGACACCTAAACTTCAGTACAATATGAAACTTCGATTCTTAAAACTTTATACACACAAAATATAAAATTACTTTTCTAGGATGGGGTAGGGGAGGGGGATTCTCCTTCATGGTACTTGGACTGAAAAACTAGTTTTCAGAGACTGCCACAAATATAATTCACAGTTTCTTGCTGTCAGGCTTTTTCAGCTACATCAACGTAGTACACAACAATACTGTTAAGTCCAATAACTACATTGGATGGACATTCTCGGGAATAAGAGAAAACTAGTGACAAAAAATACCCGAAAGGTCTCCTCCTAACAACGTCTCGATTTTTACAGGGTTGCAGTTTGTCTATGTTACACGTTAATGCGATCTCACAAGAGCAGCAGGAGAAGGCTTTAAAACCTTTCTCCTGTCCAAGTGATCCAAGTAACATAAGCATCCACTTACCAGAAATAAGATGAGAAACAAGGCTTTTGTTACAAAGACCGCAGTGAACCACACCTTCCCACACCAAAATATGGTCAACCAGGGATTTTGGCCATGCAAACTGCTGGTCAGCAGAAAATTAAGCATGCTAATGGACAAACATTAATTCCAATCATATATTTAAAATGATCCCAAATACTACTAGTTAGCTACACTGAAAGCGCCTGCAAAATATCTGTAGTGAAAAATGAAACAAAATATTAGTGATCACTGCAGCACTTAGAGTGATACTAGTCTTAAGTGATGAATCACCTCAGAGAAAATATGTTAGATGGGATTTTGAAACAAAAAAGTAACATTAAAAGGTGCACCTGAATATTACAGACTAAATTTACAAAACCTACAATAAGGTAAAATATATATCTTTTGAATATTCAGCAGCTTTTTTTTAAATTTGTTTTTATTTTTTGAGAGGCTCATGAAATTTTAAAAAGGGACCACTAACTAATCTCAACCATGCTTCACAAAACAATAATGGCTATTTCATATTGCAGTTACCAATGTAATGCAATTAGTGCTTAAAAAATAATCTACACTTTTTCTTTTTTTTCCTTTTTAAACAGAGACCTTTGGAGGAAATATGGTTGTTCAAAAGCTTCTCGAAAAAGAAAGATTACCTGAATATTAAGTTATCACAGATCAAGTGTTGTGTTTAAAAGCTTTGCAGTTATGAGTATTACAATCTTCAGGTCTCAGGACATTTAAACTGAGAAAGTTACGTGTTTGGTTTGTTGTTGGTTTTTTTTTTCTTTAAATCCACTTCCTAACCAAAGCAAATAAAGAGTACTCAACTTCTCACTATCTATTTACAATTCTTAGCCTACAGTCTGAAATGACAAGACAAATTCTCTTTTAAAACTGCAGCATTAAAGGGTAGGCACACCATTCTTCTGCTGCACGATTGTCACCCACTTAAACATACACATACAAAATATTTAGGTTAGTAAAATGAGCACTCCACGTACACTACAGTGACAAGTTTTATAAAACTCAACTCATGTTTCTTAAATAAGGACAACTGCAAAAGGTTAAACCTCTCTCAAGAGTAAAACTGTGTTACTTTTTAAACTTGCAACAAACTTTCTACCATAACCTCCAACAGCAGATGAAACCACACCTTAAACTGCGCCTTTATTGCAATCACCAGCTAAACTGGAATGTATTGCAGAGTTTATAAACTGCTACTGAGCTTAAACTGCTTTAAATGCCAAGATGACAACTAGAAAGCTACAAGGAACCAGGATTTTGAGGACTAAAATATATTAAGTAAACAAAAATAAAGTATACTTGGGGCCAAATGCCCAGTCCATTTCAAGAATGAGCAGTGCATATTTAAAACAACAGCAATGGTGTGCCTAACCTTTGAAAATATGAAGTTGCTGGGGAGGGGGAGAGGCTAAAAGAATCAATTGTTCCAGAAGTCATTCAGCATCCCTAGGGCTACCTAGGCCACCCTCCCATGAACTTTGAGAGACCACTTTCACTGACATCACTGAATGCTCTCACACAAAAACTCCAATGCTTCTTTTGGTTGTGCAAATGGGAAAAAAAATGGTAATTCTATCTACCTTTTGCACAGATTAAGACCAAATTGCTTCTACCTGAAGAACCAGCAATTACGATTTGGTCATGTTGTGGTAAGTCCAGTAAGTTCCACTTAGTTACTGACCACTCCCGCAGAAAGTATCAAAGATAAAAGTTCAGTACAAAACTTATCCTGGATCTCCATATAAGCATAAAGATACCACCATACTGAAAAAAACCCCAGATTTGTGGTTTAAGGAGTGCTTTTTTTTATGGTGTTTAAATGCTTATTCTAGCATGTGCTAAACCACTATCAAAATAGATTAAATAAAAACAACAAAAAAGCAGGACTTAATTCCTGCTACTGGCAACTGTAATATTTAAAAAGGAAACACCCATTCATTGAGTGTTCGACCCTGACAGTATTACAGATAGATATGATGCAGAGCCTGAATTAGATCAGGCTACCAGTGTTTTACTTCTTCCCTGAACATTAACAAGCTCCTTCACTCATGTGGATATTTGGGCAGACTACTGAGGTTGTAACGTTTGAGATCACCATTTTGTGGGCTATTTTTTTTCCTTTTTTTTTTTTTTCTTTTTTTTTTTCCCAGTATCACAGTAGTTTGTTACACAAATCCCCCATCCCTGGATTAGAGTCATTTAAACTAGCTGTTGGGACCACATACATTAGTAAACTCAGAACCAAGTCTGTAAAAAGTGTAAAGGTCACAAAGAACCATAGTTCTGGTATAATGAGGCATACCCTAATATATCATTTAGTGTACCCTGACTGCTCCTGACTGTGAGAAGCTTGTCTTCCGTGAGATAAGGCTACATCCTCAAGCAGGTGAGTCTAAATATCACCCTTCAAAAACACCAAATAAAATTACAGCGAAGGTAGTGTTATAAATAATTAACTGACATTTTCTGAAGGTAGTGTATGTAAGTTTTCCCTCCCCTCCCCTCCGGGTGAGCACTAAGCATTCAGCAAATGGTAAGTACAGTTAATTTAGAAAGAAAACAGTGGAGAGCCTAATTAGACCCAATTGATTATCTATCTATAGTTGACAAATCTGAGTTCTAGAGAGGTACCATTCCTAAATTTGATTTAGCTCAAACCTTTCAATCAACTGGATCAACAAAAAATAAGAAGGGAAAAAAGATTTCTGAAACATTTTTGAAGAATGACAGTCTGATTTTCATTTGAAAATTGCCTGGTTTTAGGAGAGTGTCAGTTTAACAAAGTGGACTTCTTTCTATAAAGGCAGATATGAAAAATCCAACATCAGAAGTTCAGGCAGGCTCTACAGGCAAGATGTCCACTTCTACAGATCTGCATTCTTTGTGAGGTAACTCAATTCTCTATTACAGAGAAACATGCAAAAGGCAAAAGAAAAAAAAGGAACAAAGAAAGAAAGAGGGCAGTGGGCAGGTGAAAGAGGGGAAGTGTGCCATACTAGGCCAGAAAAATTTACAAATGTGACATTCAGAGCACATCTTTCACCTGTGTTCACATAAGTCTATGCTAAACTGCAAAGGAAAGAGCATTGCAGTAAACAGGAGACTCAGGTGCGCTCAGTGATGGTTGAACTATGCAGTAGTGCTCACCCAGTTTGCAAAGTAATTGGCACTCTACAACATCCCTATTCATCCTTCAATTCATTCGCACTTTGTGCTGCTTCTCCCTGGGGATCTAATTCAATCTTTACTGAAACATCCTGCCCCTCCGACCTCATTAATTTCATTTTTTTCTTTGGAGGGTTTTTCAAAGTGCCCAGCCTCTCTTTAACTTTGTACTCCAGTGTACTGTGGGGGATCCCATAAATACTCTGAGCTTTGGAAACACTCATTTTCCCGCTCATAACCACAGAGATTGCTTCCTCCAGTATCTCGCTGTTGTACTGTCTGTATCTCCCTCTTTTCTTCCTAGGTTGCTTGGAGCCAGGATCTCCCTCTTGATCTGAGGTGGGATATGGCTGTCCAGAGGTAGACTGCTCAGCATCTGAGCCCCAGGAATCTGGTCCAGCATCCAGCAAACTTCTCCTATTTTGTTTTGGAAGGATAGCCCTTAACTTTTTGCTAAGCGCGCTCTCCGTTTGTGAACCCATTACCAAAGAGCTATAGCTGAACTGGTCACCAGTGCGGGACTCCCATGAAAGGTCCATGCCTCGAACTTGTGGTATCTTTAAATCCACAGGAGATGAATGGCTCACGTCCTTTTTCCCATCCTGTTTAGTTTGAAGTGCCATTTTTTGAAAGGCAGAGTTTTCTGTAAGAAAAGGAAGGTCACTGATGTTGCTGAGTGCACCATTTCCCCTGAATTTCATGCGGCTGAAATTGAATTCGTAGTGTGGTTTTGCCCAAGAAGCCTCCCTGGATAATATTAAGTGCTGTCCATGATTCTGTAGTCCAGATGGCCCATGGCTGGCAGCCGTAGAAAACTGGTTTCTGCTCAGCAGTTCTTCACTAATCTGGAGTGATCGAGCCAGCGGTACTTTAAGAGATGTGGAGTGGCCATAACCTTCCCTGGTTCCATCCTGCAAGCTTCTTGGAGGTACCCCATCACCACTCTGTAGTCCCTCCGGATGGTGCTGGCTGGGTCTCCCAGGTCGCCTAATTGGATGGAAGGAAACTGATGTGAGCAGGACTTGCACAGGTAGGGAGGGATGGGTGAGGGGGCCACTCCTTTATTAGAAGGCCTTGCTTGGGTAACATCACTTTTTGTGTTATTTATTTTTCTCTAAATTTTTTTTTATTACTTTAATTTATTTTTTTTAAGTCTCAGCATCAGTCAGTTTTAAAACTTGTTCGCAAAAAAAGAGAAGCTTTTTGGGCAAAGAAAAATGAAACCTGTTGGCTGGTCTCTGGTTGGGTTCACAAATTCTCGGAGTAGAAAAGACTTCGCGCAAGCGTCTGAAAATAGCACCTTAATTACAAAGTAGTGATCAATCGCCATAGATCTACACACAACTGTGTTACTGGTGTGACGTTACCACTAAACAAGCACAGTAATAAAAGAGTAAGCCAAAGTGCAACATATTCAGCATGTAAATATGACTGCCACCTGCAGTATCTACACACAGGTGGAAACCCTGGATAGTGTTTGCTTACATCATATCGAAGAATTGCTGCTCAGGATAAAAGGAAAAGCTTAGCAGGCCTCAGAGGTATTCGCCTGACTTTCATTAAGCACCAAATATGAAAGCTGGGATACCGCGGATCACAAAGGAAAACGCTTACACTGGACTTACCAAACTGCTCTCTTAACTACTAATTGCATAAATACAGAGCCCTGAATCTCATTTGATAAAAAGCATGCCTAGGAAAAGGAAGATCTAAGCACCAACTGTCATCCAGATCAAGGGTTAACAAAAAAAAAAAAAAAAAAAAAAAAAAGCAGTATGTATTTTTACCATTTCCCTTTCATCACAAGTGTTCTTTCTATGAAATTAAGTACTACTGCTGCAGAGAACCACAGCTATTTTAATGCTTTGATTGCTTAGCCCCCTGTAGTTATTAAGTCACATTGGTTTCAAAATCCACCCCCAAATTTCTCTATGTTCAGCATACAAATTAACAAAGAGAATCTATTTTAATGCTCTGGGACGCTATACTGGTGTCAAGCCCTCTGGCTAAGTCAGCATTACTTAAGGACAGGATACACAGTACTGAAAAGCTACATTATTATTTTTAACATCACACTGGGATTAAAAAAAGTCTTTAGAGAAAAGACATCCACTGCAAGAACCTGGCATGTAGCATGTAACATACACAATGCTTGATACACACTATGCACTTGCTATGCACTTCTCTCCAGGATGCAACAAGACATAGGATGTGCACAACAAAAGTCAACAAGGATTCAGAACAAAATCCAGAGAAATGGATCAAAGTTTGCAGTTCCAGAGAGCCCTCTCAGACAATGTGCATTCTCCACCCCTCCTACAGCATGTATCAGCATCACATGCACCAGTGATTCTACACCTAAATAAAGGTCATGCTGGCAGATAACAGAGGGTTACACCCCACTCAGTGATGCTGAACAAACTGCAGCCAGCCTCGTATGCCACACACCTGGACAAGTAACCACAGGTGCCAGTATGCCACATCCTCCCTGGACCCACAGGACTGAGCAGGACAGTGCCAGATGCTGGCCCTGCCATCCCTGTGTGCCGGACTTTGGCCCTCACTTGATTCACAAACAAGGGAACAAACAGTACCGAGCCTCAGTGGCTTCTGCTGCCTTCCTAGGAAAATAAAGATGGAAATAACCTGTTCAGAATTAGAGAAGTACTGCTGGGGAAGGTTTATGCTAAAGAATTGTAAAAACTATTAAGACTAAGTTTTAAAGAGGGATTGAAGTATTTTATTAATAGAAATATTAAACGGAAAAGTAATCTTGAAAGGAGAAATCTGAGACAGTATATTTTCCCAAAGAGAAATGCAAAAATTCAATCAGCTGTTATCAGTACATGGAAATGGGGGTGGAAGAGGGTTGCTAGTTGAGATTTTCAAGTTTTTCAAAGGCTATCATAAAGCTAAATCCAGCAATTAAATAGCACTTTAAACCATATACTCTTTCTGTACTTCAGTAAAAAATATTTGATCTTCTTCAAGATAATCAACAAGATTCAAGCTTCGAGCTTCAAGATAATCAACACTCAAACCCAGTCAGCCTCTCCAGTACCACCCTGACCAAGAATAAAGGGTTTCTAAATGTATGCAAATGGTGACCATTAGAAATATGAAACCTAAAGATTGTTTTATTATTTAACAGTATTTCACACCTTGAACTGATTAGGCAAGAGTAGTACACCACATACTTTGTGACTATTTTTTTAAAAAAACTTGTTCAGTACTATAGAACAATTGCAAATCTAAAGTTACATTTAAAGTTTTCTGAACTACCAGACTTCCTGTCCCATGCCCTCTTCTAAGTTGTGGTTTATGCTAGGAAATATTAACAAAAATCATGCAGTGATTTAAATCTAATTCATCATGGTTTATCACCCAAATCATTGCTACCTCTAAAATAAACTTTCCCGTTAGCTAACTTTGCCCTAAGTGAAATGAAATCTAAATATACTGCAAAGCCTCTAAGATTCTTCATGCACTTATCTGAACTTGCATGTTCACAGAAATCACCTATCACTAAACCCAAGAAACAGGTAATGAATGGATGGATCTCTGGATAAGCACCAAACTGGCAAAAATAACAGACATTAGAGTCTTTAACTGCAAGTTAAACCTGTCTCAGTTGGCAACAACTCTTATTTGGCAGGTGGGGTGAAGGTATTTGCCAAAGGTACAAGTTGAAAACACATTACTCCAAAGGGTTAACACCAAAAGAAAGTTAAAATTAACAGGAGCTAAGCACACGTTTTTAGTAAAAAACTGTTTTAAAAGGTCATAGTAAGTTGCTTTCTCTTACCCATTTCCTGAAGTACTAGAGCACCCTGGAGAGTGACTCAGAGAGGTGCTGCCAGCACAAGGACTCTTCTTAGTGGATAAATCAAGCACACCGTCTGTAGAGACAAAAGAATGACTTCAGTGTTTGAAGAAGCAGGATCAGCCATGCTGATCTTGTCTTCAGCTGAAAAGCAAAGCAAGTCTTCTGAGCTGAAGTCATTTTAGCACACATTTTTTGGTTTATTGTATTTTCAAACAAAATAAGGCTTGGAATTTTTCTGCAATATGGTTTACATGTGACTCCAATACAGTCTTTGGAAATCAATAAAAATTAACAAAATTAGAAGTGCATCTGTTACAGGAGACATAGCATAACAAATTACCTACAAGTGACAGTTCTGGATACAACAGAGCCTATCACATAACTATCTTTCAGTGGCCAGAACTGAGACAATCTTCAAGACTTGTCAACCTGAGATATTCCCCTCCTTAAAGGGAGGCTGCAAGCCAGTATTAGGATTTTTTTCTTTTTCTATCCAAATCTCTTGTAGGAAAATTCACTGAGAATTCCATACAGGAAATTAAATTAACACACATATAGATGTGAGATTTCTTCTCACGTGGCAGCCAGCTTCATCTTCTTTTTTCATATCTCCAATGGGTCCCTACTGGAAAAGCTGCTGCTGTTCTCCTCTATTATGTCCTTTTATTCCCTCTCTTCCATATGCCAAATTGGTTTTCCTGTTAGACTGCTTCCTCCACTCTCACTAATGGCACATCCTCAAGCTCCCCCCATGCTCCCCTGCAAACCCTTATGTAAACTCTGCATTTAGAGGCACCAGAAAAGGGAGCATATTTCACCAGAAAAGCCTTGCTTCTGCTGCACACCGAAGCAGCTTGAAATTCTGGTCATTTTAATAAGGGCAACATTGTCATTGAAGCAGCCCAGACATCTGAAGTTCCTGGAAACTTTGAAACGAGGAATTTTATGAGGCAGAGATAAATGAAACCTGTTGGCAAGGTGAACTTGAGACATATGAGAGCTCCTCACTCATTCAGTCTAATCAAGTGAATACCACTGAACACAAGAACAATGTAAAGCAGCTTTCAGATTGCTTAAAGTTCTCATTTGACATATGGAGAAAAACCATGATAAACAGTGAACTAGAATTAACTAACGAAAAGCTGTTCCACCCACTGCATTTGGGAACACACCATAACCCAAACCTAAGCAAGCAGAAAATTAAATTTTCTTTTTGAACAACACTTATGCAGGCACAAGAGACAGACTGAATCAAGTCTTTCTTTTCAAGAGGCTGGACAGCACAGGCAGCTGCTGGAGGCACTTGCATCCATGCTTCCTCCCTCAGAAAAGTCAGTATGACCTAGAAGCCTCTGAGGAGAAGCAGGGCCAACCTCACACCCCAGAGAAAAGCTTACAACTAGCTGGGTTCCCTTCAAGCCACTAGAACAAACTATAGCACAAAGCACCACTAGCAATCTTTCATAACAGCCTCTGAAATCTCTCATTAACAAGTTTGGCAAAATCTCTTTCCAATTACATTAAATGTAAATTGGGGAAAAAAAATTTACATCAGCAAACAGATTACTGTATAATTCAATATGCACATGTTCTACTCTCATAATGAGCGTTATGAACACCATACATTATCTTACAGCTTTTTCCATCACATGGTAGCTAAAAAACAGTTCATGTACATGCTTTCTTCTTCACCATACCATCCTCTAATTAAAAAGGAACAAAGAAAAAGCAAAACTGATTCTCTCCCTCTTTCTTTCAGCAAAAAGTTTAACAATGAGAACAGTTTAACATTTATAAACATGCATGAAAAACACACTCACAAAATGCATTTATCATAAAGACAGCTAGAAACAAATGCCTATCAGCAAACTGTACAGGTCCACATTTCAAGGGAGACATTACTCAACCTCTCACTGCAGTTTGTAACTGAAGTGCAACGATAGCTTTCAGTAAGAGCTCTAACTGCAGTATGTATCCAGATGTCCAAGCTGCATATGACTGGACACATAAAATTAACCTGTTTACAAAATGCTTTATAAACCAAATTTAAAAGAATGAAGGGATATGTAGTTTTCTGTCATAGCTAGAAAAAGGCTTTTTTTTTATTTGCAGGCACCTTTTCCATTTGCAGATGGACAGCCTACTGTGACAGAATGACTTCACTCACTAACATTTTTCTGAAGAAGGATAAAGGGTCTAATTTTAATCAGTATGATACACTTAGGATTCAACAGTTTCAGAAAAGAAAAGTTTGTATAGTATATCACTCACAGAATTTGCTTCTTTTTAAAAAAAGGCATTTTTTGATGGAAACCAAGGCTTTTGAATTAAAATAAGCTCTGAAACACTGCTACAAGTTAATTCAATCTGTGCTCCACAGAACAAGTCTATTTTTAAGGTAGAAAAGAGACATTTCTTCCAAACACACAAACCTGGAAGTTTAGTGCAGTTCATGGGTATAATTTTATAGCCTTCACAAAGCAATTTATTGCAGACTTTTTAAAGATACTCTTATACCACGAGCAGAAAGAAAATAAATCAGCCTTTCAGTCAGATTGTGCACTAATCTTCAGAGAAGAGACAACATTATGATTTTCATGACCACGTGAACTTCTCTTATCAGCAAGTGTACAGTCTATTTTGGCAGACAGTTTCTGGCAGCTCCCAGCAGGAACAGCACATTTGTCCTCAGAGTCTAGAGCATGTCCATCCTCTCTGCCCTTCTTCAGAAGAATCTCTCATGTCTATGGATCTACATTCTTTCAAAAAGTCTTTTCTCTTCTAGCCACACTGAACTAGTCATTATTAACTGTAAAAACATCTACTGCTTTTCCACTTTACATTTTATGCAAAAGTGCAACCTTCTAATTGGTTCTGCAATAAGAATGCCATTAATGGACTGCCACAGGATGCAAGACACTGGTAAGAGTCCTACCTTGTTCACTAGGTTCTGACTGAGACTTCCTGACAGTAAGGTCCAGAGGTGAGTCTTGGTCAGCCATGAGCAGTTTGCTGAGCACAGGGTTCTGAGCAGTTGCAGCCGTGGGAGAGGAGGCGACCAGAGATGCTTTCAGCAGGCTTTGGTTCTTTGTGCTATTGGGCTGGCTGGAGTCCTGAGTAGAGCTATTTTTTGAGGTATATTCAGCAGCAAACTGTCGGATCATTCGCTGCATGATCTCACGGGCCACTAGGGGAATATTGGGGTCGGAGACCCTAGGACTGTCTGCAAATATTAGAGATTTCTTTTAAGGAAGCACTTTAAGTAAAACAGCTTTTATATTAAGTCATTGTTTATTTAAAAAAAAAAAAAAATTCAGGGGAAAATAGAAAAGCCAAAGATAAAATAGTTTCTGTAGAAAATGCACTTCAGTCTTAGAATACCTGAATAAGAACCATTGCTAATTCTGGTGCAGCCTTCCCAAAATAACACTTTGCTAAAAGAAATACACAATCTCATATTTTGTTTTAAAATATAGACATATTCTATATTCCCAGACCTCTAAGAGGTGTGGAAATGGAAAGGAGAGCTAAAGTGCCAAGTAATGGAGCTCATCCAGAAATATTGAACATGTTATACAGTGGAAGAGTTGCATAACTTACCTGCAGCTACAGAAAGGTAAAATGGAAAATAAATTTGCAGCAGTCCCCTATAAGTTTACTGAGAAATAAAGCCCTAGAGTTCTGATAAATTAAAATAATTCACATGAAGATCAAATGTTCAAGTGTGTTCCATCTCATTCTATATATTTCTTTTGATATTTCTAACATTGCAATCAATGCAGGATCAGGAATCACCCAAAGAACTTGCATATACACAAAACCCCAAGATGTGTCACATGACAAGTAATTCTATTTCTAGAAGAGCTGCTAAATCTATTAGTAATGGATGTGAAACAGAACAAGTAGGCATTGCGATTTATTTATATGAAATAGTGTATAAATAAAAAGGTATCTGGGCATGTGGACAACACAAAAAATTGACTGACAAAAATCACTATTTTAGACCAGTAGTAATTTGTAATGTGAAAGTAAATCTGTAACTCCTAAATCACAAAAGCTAAGTCCTGCCACTTCACTTGAAACACTGTATTCTCTGGCCAAATCACTACCCAAAAAAACCCCAAAACAACAACAACAAATACCAACCACCCACAATACTCCCAAAAAAACCCCAAAGCACAGACAACCACACCACTATTCCAGAAATGGCTCAAAAGGTTTGATTTTCTATTACCGATGAAACATTCACAAAAAAACTGTACAGCAGAAGACCAAATAAATCTTTAAAAGCAGCTCTCAAGAGGGAACAATAGAGAAGTGTTTACTACCTCTTTTAAAAAATGGCCCAGGTTGAAAGGTAATCTATTGAGATTGAGCTATTAGAAGCATTAGGAAATCTTCTGTGGGACCTTTCAGTGTTAGATTTGCCTTTTGCCACCATTTTTATCAAAAGTACATCAATCCAACAAACCAGCTTTATGGTATGTGTAAAAGATGACTGACATGGAGGTTTGAGCAGAGCTGCCTACAAATCAAAGAGCAGCAGTAGCAGCCTGTTTCTTGACGAAACACCATATTGAGCTTTAAATACTTATCAAGCCCAAATTCCTTTCTGTTAAGCACACTTTTCTACACCTAAGATCTTATACAGTCACCATGTATATTCTTACAGTAAATTTCTGTAAATCCTGTAAATTTCCAGGATGTTTATGTAAATATGTAACCATTTTCTTTAAAACATCCTGTAGATTTTACTTGTTGTTAAGTACCAAATACTACAGTTTTAAGAAGACACCAAAAAATGAGCCAAACTTAAATTTTGGTGCATTTATAATCTCACTTGCTTCCTAAATGGTCCACAAGGACACCAGCCTGGAAAAGTGGAGAGGTTTAGTTCTGCAATGGTGGCATTTCTTCTACTTTTCTATTCTCTTCACTATAACCTCCTGAAGGACACAGAAAGGCTCTAAGGAGGCCCAGAGGGACACAATTTGATGACATGACCAGACAGATACCAACTGTTTGACACGTGCTTGTAGCATATACAAGTGGGGCTGGCAGAAATGCAGAGCTTTACAGCACTTGTGCTTTCTGAATGAACAATCAGGCCTTTACAGTGCACCGTGTTCATATGTTCATTTCAGAAATGCTTACATCTGAACATATTTACACATTCAGAAATAAAATATTGCATATGCCTACAGCCATGCATCCTTGTAATCTGCAGTTTCATAGAATCAGCCCAGAATGACAACTTTCTAGTGCTGTTCAAGATAAATGCACTAATTCAGGTCACAGAATTCCATTTCAAGCAGAAGGTTAGGTACCTAGCACATTAAAGGCTTCTTGCTTAATATAAAACCTGCATGCTGAGGATTAAAGCTGTTCAAAAGTGAGTGGAAAATATGTGCTGGTGCCCATCCAGCATCACTTGAAATCAATCACATATTTATCTTGACTCCACCTGTCCAGGTTTTTTTAAGAAAATAAAACTAAAATTAACTAAAACATAGAAATTCTCTGAGAAGAGAAAATACAGCAAAAAGTTATCTGCTATACATAGTCTGAAGCAGTACCTCTGAGCTTTAAAGCCTTAATAGTTTTTGTGTATTTTATATCAAAACCTTAAAAGGGCAGTATCAAACAAATAAAGGCATGATTTCATTAAACCAGAAGAAGGTCCTGACCTGCCACAAAGCAAAGGTAACAGACAACTAAGTACTACCACTCTGCTTTGACTGGAAAAATAAGAGTATTTAAAGGAAGCATTACTGGATCAGAGTGCCAGGGACACAATTTCAGAGAAAGGACTAAGATTAATGGACAGTAAACCTCTCCAAAAAGTTTGCTGATGTTGTTAATTCCCTGTTCATGTTCAGTACATTAACGTGTGGCCAGTGTTCAGAGAGCAGCTGCATTTTCTCTGATCTACCCAGGCTACAAAATACCCATCTCAAATGTTACTGGCAGTGAGGATGGAAAGAAGAAAAAAACCAATTGCTGTCAGGAAGCCAGGAGAGCTCAGCATCTCTGGGCAATATAAGAACATTAAAGTTCTGCCATTCTTTGTGTCCTCTTTGGTATGACAGTGCCTTGGGATCTTATGGCAGCAGCATGAGTTAGATTTCAAACAATCTAAATAGAGGCAAGCTTGAAAATCATGCATTAAGGATTCAGAACTGACTTCCTGCCAGGCTTCTATCCCTCGCCTGTTACTCTTGCACCAAGCACAGCTTTGTCCAAGAAAGAAAAACAAGGGTGTATTTTTAAAAAATTCTCAAAGATTCTTAGACATCTGGCTTGTTTCATTATCTTTACTCTGGGTAGCCAGCCACGGACAGAGTATTACACCCTTCATTAACACAATACAATATCTGCTGCTGGCTTCTCAGTGAATTTAAAAAGCATACTTTCCTAAAAGACACACATCATACATGAAGATTTAAGTTTAGTGGTAAAGGAATGAGGTCTTTAATAAACAATTTGGAAATGATGGAAAGACTTTTTTTTTCGTCACCGAAAAAGCAATATGGAAAAACCTGTATTTTCTCTAGACTTTAGTTTTCTTTAATTCCTTCTGGATTTTAAGATAAATGGGATAAACTCAAAAGCAAAAGGAAACATTAAGCTTACAAGAAAAAAAGTAGAATTGAAAAGGAAGCCTTGGAATAAAGGTATTATCTGAACTATCAGTAGTAATGCAGTAACTATCCTTCCTACCATCCTGCATGTATTGCAAAAAGTATAGAAGCATCATAATGTATAGCTTGTATTTATTCATTTGAGTCATAAAAGAAAGGCTAAGATACTGTTATCTACTTAAAACACCTTTAAATATTTTGGTCACTGGAAGGAGGGGCTGAGGACTGGCTACAGCAATTTCTAATTTGTTAAACTGAAGCCTTACATTGTCCCCCAGCAGATAGGTTGGAATTACTGATTTGGCAGATTTTCTCACACATGGGTTAGACTGATAAGTACGATGTACTTTCATTCAGGATGCATTTGGAAGCAACCTCTGGATTAATGTTTCTCAGATTTGTAGAAAAAAGTGAAATGAGCTCTGTGCCTTCCTTAAGAGCAGTTTAAGCAACAACTCTCCAGAAGATATTTAGGTGATTTTCTAGTACTGAGCATGTTCTCAGAATATTCTACAGCAATTCTCTTGCTGATCACATTTTGAATTCCTCACATATCCCCCTTAGCACTATTCCAATAATATTTTATATTCTAGATTGTTGGGAATAGGGTGGTAATCATTACCAATAGTGAAAAGACTGATGACCTTTAAGAAAAACTGCATTAGTACATATCCCATCAAAATAAAATACTTTAAAAAAAAAAAAACAAAACCAAAACACATTACCCACCTACAACCAGCACTGCCACTTGACCTTTCTTCCAAACAGCCCACCCACCTAAACACTGGTTATGGGGAACAGTTCTGCGGGGTAAGAACTGAGTCATCTCTCCAAAAGTGAAAACACCAGTGATCTCATGGAGAGATTTTGTTTAGGGTTAAAGAGTTTTATGCTCCCTAGGCATCAACAGTCTCTTCCAATGCCCCAAGCCCACATTGTTATGTTGCTCCATCACTTCAGAATCAATTTTTATCCTTGATAAATATATATAAAGAAGATAACTGAAAAATACTGAACATTCAACTTGAACATCAGATCTTTGATACCTACATTGCATGCAGAAAGACCACAAGAGAGACTATTTCCCGTATCCTCCACCCCCATCAAAACCAACCTTTTCTGTAAAAGACTGCATTGAGGAACTCTTCCGCTTGCCTTTCAAAACGAATGATTTTTGCTTGCTCTTGTCTAAGCAGAGCTTCTTGTCCAGCTTCCGAGGCTGGCTCATCCAGACTGACTAAGTGTTCCTGCAAAGATATTTAATATTTGTAAGATCTTCCAGACTCCAAAATGAATAAAGTTCCCTAGGCACTCAATATTTCACTAAATTCAAAACATTTTAAGGTATTCAGCACAGAGTTGAATTTATTTAAATCAAAACTTCTTTTTTTGTCTGCATCAGAACATTGTACTTTGTCCTGTTTTCTTGTTGTAAATTGGGCTGGTTTGAAGGTCAACCAGAGGGAGGAATTAACCCCACACAAATACCTTGCACTTGCTCCCACCATGGTCAGCACATAGCACTTGCCTTGGCAGGTTCTGGGAATGGTGACCTACTTAATTTGCCATACTTCCCTGTACCTATATTTTGACTACTGTCCACCATGCCATAAGAGGCTTCATCTGCTTGGCTTGCTAGATTGCAGCACACATCTCACAGTGATCCATGAGTGACACTGTCCATGTTTAAGTCCACCCCCTGGTCACAGGCCCATCGGTATGTCCCATCTCTTCCCTGATGACTGGAGGCATCAAGGCCCTAACAAGCTAGAAGTAATTCTCCTTTGTGCTACCAGTGCAGATCTACCTGAGATACTTTAACCTTGGCAGCAAAATTCACCTGCATGTTGTTATTTCATTAGCCTGACTTTTGGGTACACGTACAGGAATGTGACAGACCTTGACAGTCAGCTTCTCCACCTGGGTAGCAAGGTCTTTCCAGATCTCAGCAGCCCAGGTGGGTTTCCCCTCTGCACTGTCATTTGGCCTTTCTCCACCGATCCAGCCATCCCCACAGAGCATTAGCTACCATCCACAAGTCAATGTAGAGTCTTGGCCACTACTCTCATTTAGCAATATTCAAAGCCAGCTGGATGGCTTTAACTTCTGCAATTTGACTTGATCCACTTTGTCCTGTGGTAGCTTCTGCAGCTTTCTGTGTGGGGGTCCTCAGAGCAGCTTTCCATTTCCTGTTTGTTTCTACAATTGGGCAGGAACCATTGGTGAAGAGGGCGCTATTGCTTTTCATTCTCTGCTAATTGGTTATTTGGTGGGACCTCCTCAGCACAGGTCACCTGCTCCTCTTCTTCAGAACATAGTCCAAAACTCTCACGCTCAAGCCATTTTGTTATGACTTCCAGAATCTCAGTGAGATTAGGATTTCCCATCTAGGTTCCCTGTGTGATCAGCGTGATCCAGTTGCTCCACACGGCATCAGTGGCACGATGTGTAGAAGGAACTTTCCCCTTGAACATCCAGCCCAGCACTGGTACTTCAGTTAACAGATGCAGCTATGCTTCAGTGCCAGTCACTTCTGAGGTGGCTTGAACCCCTTTGTAGGCTGCAAGAATCTCTTTCTCAGTTGGGGTACAGCTGGCCTCGGACCCTTTGCATCCCTGACTCCAGAATCCCAACAGTCATCCTTGGGTCTCCTCAGGTCTCTGCCAGAGACTCCAGAAAGGATCATTCCCTCCAGCCATAGTGTGGAGTACATTTTTTACATCCTGCCCTGTCCTGACTGGCCAAAGGGCAACTGCATGGAACCTCCTGTTTAATTTGCTCAAAAGCTTGTTGTTCGGGGCCCCACCAGAAATAATTTTTCTTTTGTGTCATGAGATTGAGGGGGCTTACAATTGTAGTGTATTCTGGGATATGCATCCTCCAAAAGCCCACAGCACCTAGGAAGGCTTACATTTCTTTCTTTTTGGTTGGTGGAGACATAGACATTATTTTGTTAATAATTTCAGTGATGTGGTAAATTCTTTCCTTAAATATTTAATAAATATTTCAGTTAATAATCTGGCAATGTCCATCTTGTCACTTTACTCCTGGAAGATGAATTTCCTGAGCAGGTCCCTTAATCTTACTTCATTTAGTGGCAAGCTTTCAGGACAATCTGGATAATCTCCTCTCCTTTCTCAAAGACTTCCCCAGCTGTATTCCCCCCTATGATGCTGTCACTGATGTATTGCAAATGTACTGTACTTGTCTGAGAGACGAGGCAAGGTATTCAGTTGTCTGATTTGCTCTGTCCCTAGAGCAGCTATCCCAAAAGCCCAGCAAGGTAATTTTGAGTCTTGAGACAGTCTATGCCGAGGATGCATGGGGCCTCTGAACCAGTCACGATGGGGTGTTTCTGCCATTCCTTCCCAGTCCAGTTCAACTCAGTATCCAATACAGTCAACTGCTGGGATCGTCCTGCCACCTCAGAAATAGAAATGCATTCCACTCCCACATATCTTGATGACATGAGGATACACTGGGCACTGGTGTCAACCAAAGCCATAAACCTTTGTGGGTCAGACACATCAAGCCACTGGACTCACACAGTCCAACAGATCCAATTGTCCCTTTCCCCTACCTGGCTAAAGGCAGGGCCCCTCTAAATCCTGGTCATTGTACATGTTACTCTCCTCCTGTAAATATGCCCCTGAGGTCCCTTCAAGAGGGTCAGTAATATCATCATTCCTTTACCACCTGGAGCCTTGTCTAAGAGAGACCAAGGCAGTGTTGACCCTAGATGAGCTTCTTGCAGTTGTTGTTCCTCCTTTCACTTCATGTACCTGGGTGGCTAAGGAAGAGGTGGGTTTTCCACGCCACTTCTTCATGTCTTCTCCATGCTTCTGAAGGAAAAAACAGAGGTTACCTCGTGGAGTGTATCCTCTCTCCTTGGCTGAAGGACACCCGGTCCAAATGGCAGAGACTCTTCTTGGTTCTGGCAAGATGTGGTAAATTCTTTCCTTAAGCTCCCTCATCAGTTTCTGGTGGCCCTCTTCAGTTTTCTCTTTCATGCTCCAGATGTGCCCAGCCAGCTTTGTTTCTACAGATGAGATGTGGGTACATAACAGGGCAGTGACAGCATCCTTGCAAAGTCTTAGTTTGTTGACCAATGCACCCACCTTGTCCTCTCCTTCCTTCCACTGCAGTGTTGCTAAGTAGTGGGAATATATTTCTGGTCTGAGCCTTGCAAATTTCAACCACATTTGTGATGTGCACTGGACACCTTTTGGGCTCTTAGGGAATCTCTCATCTTCTGAAAAAATGATCACCAGCACAGCTAATTCCCTTAGGCATTGGATACCTTGGTTCCATTGTGCTCCATATTCCTTCTTGCATGTGAAGGTCCCCTTTACACAGGTATCTAGCCCTTTGACTTGCTAGTAGCCACTGCCAGAGGCTAAGAGTTTCCTGGGCTTCCCTGATCCCCTGGTCAATGACTATACCGTGGGACAGCGATCCCAGCTGCCCAGCCTCATGTCCTTTCAGAATGGTGTCATTAGCTGCAGCATCCCAGATGTGCAGCAGCCAGGTCAGAAGGGACTCGTTCAGCTGCTGGGTGAACTCCCTCTGCAGCTCACACAACTCACCCAGGGACAGAGGCCAAGTGATGATCTCCAGCTCTGTCTCTTCCACTTGGGTGTGAAGGTCCTGCTGCCTCCTCATCAGTCACGGTGCTGACTGAATTGCTTTTCAATTTCCTTTTCTGAACAGGGTTAACTACTACTGAATTCGGCTGTCCTGGCTCAGTGACAGTTTGTGTGGACACAGTGCCTGCTGACTGGCTTCTTTTTTCCTCATCCTCCTGAATATGCTGGACCACACCAAGCTTGGTCATGACTCCAAGCATGGTGTACACAGCGCAGGCCATACAGAGAAGACAGAGCAAAACTAACAACAAGATTATGCCGTCCTTGATATCCAGACAGAACTCAGTATTTTCAAAAACTGCTGTGTTGGGCCTGAAAGCGTGGAAGAAAACATTCTCTACTCTTCCTGCCATTGGCTGGGTGTGATTATTAACAAGGCTCCATAATCAGCAGCCCAGACCAGGACAGGAGAAGGAAACTGAGTATATATTCTGAATGAGGTTCGCTGCCTCTGATATTATCATGCAATAGACATAAAGAATAATGAAGCAATTTTCATAGCATTCTCTGGTCTCAAAAGGTGTAACACAACTGGCAAATACCTCCCCATGTGCACAAAAATATGGAGAGCAAGGTACCAGATCCATGCAAACAAGTCATCACACCACAGTGAAGAGGCAATTTCTGTAATACAATGCAAAACTGCAATTCTGATGTCTCTCAGGATGCCACACATTGGGTACCAAAATATGTGCTGGTTTGAAGGTCAACCAGAGGGAGGAATAACCCCACACAAATACCTTGCAAGTGATTTCCACATGGAGCTACAATTTAATAGGAAACTTACAGTCAAGGCAATAGTACAGAAACACTGGCTTAAACTGACAAAGAGTTTTGGCACCCTGCTGGTCAGGGTGGTGGTGGCAGTCTGATTAAATGGTGGTTGCAGTCCCATTGAAATGATGGATGTGCACTTGTCAAAGCTGTGGTCCTGTGGAAAGGTTTGGTCCTTCCCTGGAGGTCCAGCAGTGGTTCCCCCAAGTGCCCAAACCTTGAGATCACACACCACCCTCAAATCCAGGCAGGAAGGTTCACTACTTCCCCCAGGGCAGGGAATTTGACAAGGGAATGATGCAATCCTGGGAGACATAGGATATTTTGGGCAGTCCTTAACGGCACATTAGCAGAGATGACCACCCTTAGGTTGGGTGTAACAAAGAGAGCACCACACCCAGCTCATAGGTGGGGTAGCAGCTGTTACAAAGGATCCACCACTAACTGTTCATCAGAAGGTGATGGAGGTGGTGCTAGAGTACATACTTTGGTCACTCCTCACACTATGACCCAAGACATAAATGGAACAGAAGCCTGTAAAATTTCATATTAATACAGAAAGTAAGAGTCCATTATAAAGAAGAAAACTTAGATATCTTACACCATTTGGCTGCAAATCTCACATCTAGCACTTGTCCTTTGGCTATTGTTTTTAGATCCCAGAAATAACTGTTGAAAGCAAAACATACACAGTTCTCCTTACTCCATATATCCTTCATGCAAACTAAGCAAAAAATGAACAAGCATTATCAACAAACAGGATCTTCTGTGAAGAAGCTTAATAGTAGCTACTTTTAAGTGAAATAAATTTAAGTTATCTGTTACAA